AGTTTGGTGGAAAAAAAGACGAACATACAGGGAAATTGTTGTCATGGACAAATGTCTGGAACTTTCACACCTACTATATTCCAATCCTCTTCTTTTTTTTTGCTTCTCCTTCCATGTCTCTGTACCTACTCTGTTGATTGACTGACTTTCTACAGGTTTTGTACCAAAGTTTCTGGCTTCCAATGCATTCGCTTCTGCAACTATTTCATCCAAAGTGATCTTGTCTCCCGTTTTCAATATCTTCTTTCGGAGTTCTTCCTTTTTTTGATATTATCATAGACCAAATAACGAAAGAGAAAAAGAGGGTTGTTATCGTGGTGGTTATATCTGTTTACTTCTCGTAATGCGTACATAAAGCTGCTTAACTTTCTATGTACTTTTTTTGTGTGGTTTCCAAGTAATATAGGTATCTATTATTAGGCCTAGTAGTGTATGCTCGTAAACTGTATCTATAGTCAAGCCGTTATTATCTATTTTTATACTTAATTTTGGTTTTTGATTTGGGTGAAAAGACATTAATTTAGTTTTTGATAAGTTTATCCGCAGGTTATGTTTAGTTAGCCAGTCCATTGTTTTGAATAATATGCTGTTATTTTTTGCTGTTAGTATTTTATTGGACTTTGGCTTGATATAAGAATAGGAATATCGTCCGCGAACATGACACAGTATTCGCTCAGAGCCTCTACAAAGTCATCAATGTAAATTAAAAACATAACCCCCACACGCTGCCTTAAGGTATTGAAGCATTAATAGTTTAGTATCAGATCAATTTTTTTTTCAATTTTGTGTAATTTGTTATTAAAATACTCAATTTCCACAAGTTCTATTGTGTAAAATGTTTTTAACAGATTGTAGCACGGACCTCTGATTGCTATGTCACATAAATTAAATTTAGTAATCACATTATACTGTATCGTATGCTTTTGACATGTCTAGTAGTATTCCTATAGTATATTTTTACCGTTAATTATAATATGTATTTTTTTAATGTAATTATAAATTGCTAGAACTGTTGATTTGGTTTTGCAGAAACTGTTTTGACTTTCAATAAAGATTTTTATTTTTCGCAGAATTTATAGATACGGTCGTATAATGTTTTCTCAAACATTTTGGAAGCTGTGGGCAGTAAAGCCGAATTTACATTACGAAACTAGTGCTATGCATGTTGGAATGAGTTTCATGAAAATAATTGCAGCACGTGCAAATAATGATTTATTAAATTTGAAAACTTTCACAAAAAATAATAGTGTCGTGAACTCAACAGTACATCAACATGGCTCTGTCAACATCAAAGCTTCATTTTGCGATGCAAAACGTCGTGGTACAGATGTTAATATATAAAATTTTAAAAAAGGTTATCTCGAAAGAAAAGACGTTGGTGGATTCGAGGATGGGTAGGAAGAAAGCATTTGGGTGCTACACGTTTAATTTCTGAACTAGCAGATGAAGATCCCGAGAGCTATACAAACTACTTTCGAAAGAGTGAAGATTATTTTAATTTTTATTAAGTAAAGTGTCATACAAAATATCTACACAGGATACATGTCGAGAAGCACTGACAGGAAAATTAAAACTTCAAATTACTTTACGATTTCTTGTGACAGGAAATAGTTTGACTTCATAATCATACGAATTTAGAGTGTCCTCGTGTACTATATCGCAATTTTTACCTGATGTGCTGGACGAAATTTATAAAAAATTAAAACACTACATTCAGGTAAGAAAATAATGTTTATTTGGTGTAATTAACAATCTAGGTATTATGATATGCATATTAATAATTATCAACATTTAATTCTCTATCCACATGAGAACCTGATATGCTTGCAACAGCTTGCGAAATTATGTCCTCATTGTATGTGTAATACTCGTCTTCTGCATCATTATTCGTAACAGCATTAGTAGCAGCAATTGACTCCGATTCTGATGAGGATTGTGCGACTAGCTGATTCTCTGGTATAGTAATGATAATAGTTCTGTTAGACTCCATACACTCTGACATTGATGATGATGTACCTCTTTGTAATAACGAGGTCTGTTTTAATAGCTTTACACGTTGCTGTCTTATAGTAGCCAATATTACTTCTTCGGTGTCTAGGTCAGCTTCTAATGGGAGCTGCCTTAACTGCTGCGCTATAGTGCGTCCGAAAAGGTCAAATTCATCATCACCTGAGTTATTTGAAAACTGCTGCGTTGAAACTTTTTCTAATGCATCAACTGCTCTAAGGACTGGATCTTTTAATTTCCTTTTATTTCTTGAAGTTGTACGTGGTACAGTGAACTCTTCATCGTTGGATTCAGAAACTGAAGCTTCTTGAGTGTTGGGTGCAATGTTTGGTGTTTGAAACAATATACTTTTACAGGTACCAGACAATGAAGAAAGTTGGAGAGATATAATTGATGAATTTCATGAAAAATTTAATTTTCCACTGTGTTGTGGCGCTAAAGATAGCAAACTCGTTAAAATACATTATCCCATGCACTCGAGAAGTGATTATTATAATTACAAGGGAACATTCAGTATTGTCCTCCTAGCAGTTTGTAACAGTGATTTAAAGTTTAGGTATATCAATGTGGATCACTATGGCCGAGCTTCCAATGGAGGAATATTTGCTAGAACAAATTTTAAAAAAACCTTGGAAGAAAAGACTTGGAACTGTCGTCCTGAAGGAATGGTTTTTTTGGGAGACCAAGCATTCCCTTTGACTGAATATCTTATGACACCTTATAGTCGTCGAACAAGTTTATAAAAAAAAAACAAAAAAATTTACTACTACTGACTATGCAGAGCTCGAAGAACTATAGAAAACACTTTTGGTGTATTAGTTAGTAAATTGCGGATTTTTGGAAAACCTATTCCTTTCATGCCAGAAACTGTGGACAAAATTATAAAGGTCTGTTGTGTTTTGCACAATTGGTTGAAAACTACATAATCGTCCTATATTCAACTAGGATTGATTGATGAAGAAAATATAAATACAAGAGAAATAAGGAGAGGTTCATAGGGAGAAATACCACATGAAGCATTCAGGCCACTCAGCAGTTTAGTTTTAGTGGAAATCATTCCAGAGCTTCCCACAGAATAAGAGAACATTATAGTGACTACTTTGTTGGACAAGGGCGTCTAGAATGGCAAGAAATAATGATTTATAAAATTTGAAAACTAATTACTACAAATAATAAAATAATAACTTACCAAATTCTCTGTATTTTCTCTGGTTTAACTATCAATGTTTTTCAAAAAATGCATATGAGGCAACCAAGGTATTTTAGACACATACACCTCATCATTTCCCATACCCGTCGTATTACAATTTTTTGCTTTCAATAGTTCGTTGTTATAAGTATTACGAAGTATACGTATTTTGCTTACAACTTCTTTCACAGTGTGCATTTCCATGGTTTCCATAATTACTTTGTAGGCTGCCTCTCTAGCATCTCTATATTTATATTGAGGGTGTTTTGGATCCCAAATACACTCGTTACGCTGGTATTCGTTATCATTTTTATCGACTGACCAAAAGTTGGTTTGCCATTTTGGCGTGTATTTAGCTGCACAATGCACTAAACACACACGTCTGCCCTGTGCAGATGCTTTCGCGACACTAGTTTTGTGTCGCGTTTTCATCGTGAAAGTAGTTGCGTTACATTAGTTTTACAAAGAATATGCGCATGGCATGAAATTAATCCAGTGTCGCAAAACCGACGCATGCGTTATGAAACTGTAAAGGGGACAGTCGTTTTTGGGCCCACTAGAAATTTTCGCGGACAGCAATGGTATTATATACAAAAAAAAAAGATACCAATTTATTATTGTAAATAGCATAAAGATTTTATGAAAATCTACACGGAATCAAGAAATCTGAAAAAAAGAGTTGTTTTGATATTTATGTTTATGTCATTGGTTCAGATAAAGTAATATTAAACACAATTGTAGTAGAGATGTGCTAACTCGGAAGAAATTCGACTCGAGTAAACTTGTGTTGAAATTCACGTAATCGAATAGTACTCGAGTTACGCAACTTGAATTGGCGGAACGAAGCTGTGTCAGTTTGTTACAAATTATTTTTATATTTGTTCTTTCATCCAAGATAATTATTATTATTTCTTAACTTAATAGGTAATTATATATTATTGGTTTGCGTATAGACAATCTTCATAAAATAATATCACTTACTTTATGACGTAGCGTAAAGTTACTGTTATTAATAATTTAACCATCACGAATTATACTTAATCAGCTTATTGACATTACATAATATATCAATAAATTGCTCGAATTAGTAAGTCGAGTTCATCACTAAATTGTAGACAGACACTGCATTGACCGTAATATAAAAATGTGACTCGAGTAGAATTTTGTGACTCAAGTCTCTCGGGTTTTATCATGTCACTCTAGTTGTACTCGAGTTTTTGAGTTATTACGTTACACAGTTACATCGATTGAAGTTTATCACTCGAGTCGATTATAGCGATTACCTTAGTTAAATCATTTTTAAATAGGTACCTTTATAAAATAAGTAATATGTGGCAATATGAAATAAAATACAAATATTTATTATTTATTTATTTGTGGTATTTTCATGTTTTTTATTTACTACAGACATGTGGAATATTTCAAAATCTTATAAACTGCTTTTTGCATATCTTAGCGCCCAATCAGACTGCACTAGCGGGTGCGGGGGCGGGCGCGGGCGCTCGGATCTTAGTACTATACTACACGGGCGATTCTCCCGCCGCGGGAATCCGCTCGACAAAGTTCCCGCAAACCAGCAAACTACACGGAACGCGGTTTACCGCTGTTTTGCGTTCATTTTAACATGGATCCGCCAATGATAACTGCGCTTGCAGCTCTTATATTATTAGAATTATTAAAAAATAAAGTTAACCGCAATGTTTGGGTGGAACCAGTGTTAAGTAACCGTTTAACTTCGGGAATATTTCATTCAATGTTTAGTGCACACCGTGATAACCCTCATAAGTTTTTCTCTTATTATAGAATGTCTGTGAACTCATTTGATGAACTTCTATCAATTATAAGCCAACGTATTAAGAAACAGGATACAAATATGCGAAGATCTATCACACCTGCGGAACGTTTGGCTGTAACTCTCAGGTAAATAAAATATCATTATTTTATTATGTAATCTTTTTTATTAGGGTAAGTAATGCAGAACATTAAAATAATCATCATTTTCCGTTGATGTTTCCGACCCAGTATCGTTTTGTGGCGATGCGACACTAGTCATTGGAGTTAATGTGTCCTCGTGATATGCTCTAGACCCAGAACTCGCAGATGGCTCCTGGTTCCTATGGTAAAGAAACTCGGACAAGTTGCTAGGAATACTCCGGTTTCTTTCGTTTCTTTGTATATTTCTGAATAAATTCGTAATTTCATATCTAGTTTCCATAGCCAAATTAGGAGTCATGGAATCCATAATGGGTACAAAGGACATAAGAAATGCTCGATTTCCTTTTGCGTCACTATCGTTATTTAACTTTTGTAATTGTAAACTTTCATTCAAAATTTTTGTTATTTGCGGAATTTGGGTACTTTCCATTTGTTTCTTTCTTTTGGTAGGAACTCGGTTTTGTCGCGGTGGTCTCATCAAATTATCTTCTTTAAAATCCTGATTTTGTGATGAATTCGAAGGTATTGGAGATACGTTGGACTCACGTTCTTCTGCAATACTGACGCTAAGGCGTAAAAAGGACAACAACTCACAATAAATATATCGTTTCTTTTTTGGAGCTGATTGTCCCGACACTGTGGTAGTTTCTAAATTTACTTCTTTTTTATAACTATCTCTTATATTCTTCCACTTCTTCATTAGGTCCTTTACTGCAAAAAAGAAATGTATTATTAATATGGCATTTATTTATTTTTCAGATATTTGGCTTCGGGAGCAAATTTCACTGATTTGGAGTACGATTTTCAAATTTCTCGAAAAACTATACCATTCAATGTAAAAGAAACCTGTCAAGCTATTAGTCAAGAATTAGCACCTTTAGAGATGCCAAAACCAAATAAGGAAAAATGGATAAACATTGCTGAGAAATTTTACAAAGAAGCGAACTTTCCTAATTGCGTTGGAGCCATTGACGGCAAACATATTAGAATTGTTTGCCCTCCGAATGCTGGATCTAAATATTATAATTATAAAAAAATATCATTCGATTATTTTATTGGCAGTGGTTGACGCAGACTACTGTTTTACATTCATTGACATTGGTGCTCCAGGTCGAGAAAGTGACTCTTCAATTTTTAAAAGTTCAAATTTCGGGCAAAGGTTAACTCGTTCTCAATTGGATTTACCGGAGCCAATTCATCTTCCTAACAATATAGGAAATCCTCGTGTGCCTTTTGTATTTGTAGGTGATGCTGCATTCGGTTTAAATAAAAATGTTATGAGACCATTTTCTTTGCGAAATATATCCACGCCTAAGAAAACTTTTAACTATAGACTGTCTAGAGCCCGCCGCTTTGTGGAATGTGCATTTGGTAGGGATGGCGATTCTTTTCGAAAAAGATCGATTTTTAAATCGATTCGAATCGTGACCTAATGAATAGATTTACAAAAAAATCGAGGTCTATAAGATCGATTTCCGAAAAATCGATCTTTTTTTCAAGTTTTCGTTTATAATGTAATATTTTATTAAAAACAAGGTACATATTATAATTTAACGATCCCTTATCAGTAAAATCAGGTAATTCGATAATAAAAAATATTTTCATTACCATGTCAAACTAACAGATAAAGTATAAAATAAGACATTTATTTTCTACATTTAGAAATTTTACAGAGTTAAGAAAATGGTTAAGAAAAATCGTTTACAAAGTTAATAGATAATGTAGCTTATAGTTCCCAATGCTTAATTTCTAAACTTTTTAAAAACAACAGTCTATCAAGTCTACAGGGATCCAAGCGGTTTCGCTCATCTGTTGCGATGTTTCCGGCAATTGAGAAAAGGCGCTCACAAGGAACAGATGATCCTACGATACTCATATACATCACGGCTATTGAGTGAACTTGGTGATAAATAGAGTTTTTTTGTTCTTGCCAGTAGAGTATAGGATCATAATTTAGGTGCACAACTGCCTGCGATAAATAGTGTTTAAATTCTTCATTTAAGCCTTCACTTTCCTGTGCATGTGCAGTACATAAAGAGAGTTGCTTTTTCACAAGCAACTTATGAAAATCCCAAATTCCTTTTTTCATATCATTATCAGTCTCTTCAATGGCGTCGACTTCTTAGCTATTATTTTGTGGAAGTTGTTGCCGCGTAATACCTAAAATTGAAGTGTTTATTCTATTTATTGCTCGAGAACAGGCGACATGGTCAGTAAAATGAATTTTTTTAAATCTAGGATCTAAAATGGTCGCAGCAGCTAACAAATGAACTTGTTCGACCATTCCAAATCTTTTTTTAAGGCCGTCAGCTATTAAAGTTCGTGTTTTAGCACCAATATCGGTTGAATTTTCCATTGTATTATATGTTTCAGTCAGACAAGATACGATTGGTATAATTTTACTGGCTGTAACATAGTTTTCTCCAGATATTTCCTTAGTTATTACTTCTAATGGTCTCAATATATTTATAAGATCTTTTATGAATTCTAACTGCTGTGCAGTAAGCATTGTTGGAGCTTTAGGATACTTGAGTAATATTGGCGCAATTATTTCGGATAACTCAACAAATCGTTCTAATTGATAAAAAATAGAATTCCATCTGGTACACACAGATTGAATAAGCCCCAAAGGCTTTGTTTGGTGATCCTGAGCTTTCTTTAAAGAGTCAGCAGCATTTGTATTTTGCTTAAAATATTTAGTAATATCTTTAACAGCTGTTAATAAATTCTTGGCTTCGTCTAGTCCATCCTTATTGTCAAATGGTTTTGATACTACTAGGTTTAATGTATGAGCAAAGCATGGCATGTGTTTATTTTTGCCATAAACATTTGTGACTGCTTTAACGATATTAGCGCCATTGTCCGTGATAAACGCTACCACTTTGTCACTTGTGATGTCCCATTTTTCTGTCATATTAATAATTACTTGTGCTAAGAAGTCAGCATTGTGTGGTTCTGTTAGAGCAGTTGCACCGAAAATCATGCTCATTAATTTATTTTCATATATACAATGACCAGTTAAGCCTAAGTAGCTTTGACTATTATTCGTGTCGGTCCTAACATCTGCAGTCAAAGATAGTGCTTCTACTTCTTGTATTTTTAATTTCAGTTGTGCTGAAAGAACGTTATATTTATCATCAATCATGTGGGTAATTGTTTTTCTGGCTGGAACTTTATATAGCGGTGCCACTACTTTCATCAAATATTGAAATCCTGTTTTTTCTACAGTATTTAGAGGCAAGCCATCCTTTGCTATCATGAAGACTATTGCATTGGCTAGTTGACTACTTTTAACACCATTATCTGAAAATTAAAAAAAAAAAGTTATAATTTTCGATCCTCACATCTCACTTTCATGAAAATTTATTAAAAAGAATATTTCAGTTTCTTGTCTTACCTCGAAATGATTTTATATTTGTTAAGCAAGATGTCAATGTTGGCTGTTTTAAGACTGATACAGAGACAGAAGAAGAAGCCACGCTTTCAGTATCCGAATTATCAACATTTTGAGAATCTGGAACTGGCACGATGCCTAAAGCCATGTCATCAAAAACCTAAAATAAAAAATATATTACTTTGATTTATTGAACATTAATTCTTATTTTGTTCAAACTCAGTACATTGGAAAACAAAGGATGTGATATAAGAAATACAGGCTCCACTCCACTCACTTGTCCATCACCATTTCGTGCATTACCACAATTGCCACCACCACTTTCACTCTTCTTTCTGAGACTTACGGTCTGAATTGTTGGATGACGTCTTAATAAATGATTACGCAAGTTTGTTGTGTTTCCCTTAGTTTTTACTTCCTGGTGACAATATTTGCATTTACCTCCTGAGTCTTTTTTTATGAAATGATTCCAAATATCACTTTTACCCGACATGCTGAAAAAATACATTTTTTCCTCATTAAATTTGATAAACAACGAAATTTATAGTAATTAGTTACCTACTAGTTTTAAGTAATATTCAAAATCCTATTAGCATCAATTCCTAAACAATTAAAAAAAAGACTTTATATGAAAGATTAGTAAAACATTTAAATAGTAAAACAATTAAATAGAAGTAATATTTTTTTGTAAAAAAAAACCTTTATAGGTTTATCACATTTTAAAATCGATTTTTTTCGGAAAGATTTGCCCACCCATCCTTAGCCTGGCCTTCTTACCTACCAAATATGTATGTATTTATGGTAGGTGACCGCAGACCGATTTTATTTGATAAAAATAAGATTAAAGTAATTTCGGTAGTTTATTTTTAAAAAGATAATCAGGGCTTTACTATTACTTTCTATGTAAACAAAATAAACAATTTGAGGTTATATAGATAAATGGACATAATAGTAGAAGTAAGTATGCATACTTCCTTAAGGAATTCCACATAGACTTAGTTATTTCAATGCCCAATATTGATTATTCGTATCTAAACGTAAATGAATTACATACATGGTTAGATTTAATGATCACAACTAATAGATTAAACTGAAAATAATAGCACGAAAGTAAAAAACAAATTAAAGCGCTTTACTTACCTACTTAGTCTCAATTAGTTATTATTCCGCAACAAACACTACATAAAAATTAGTATTTATATCGCTTTACGAGAATCACTCAATCAATCAACAATAAACAAATGAAATAAATACCAAAAATAAATTATGGCTGGCATGACGCAAAAAGTCAAAGATGAAAGAGTCAAAGACTACAAACGTAACTTTTTTTATTCAAGAGATGCGAAGGAATCTAAACATACAGCCATCTCGCGAGTTTTTGAATAATTAATTCTTTAACCGGCAGCACTCTTATAATACGGATACCTTCAATTAATTGTAAATAGTTTTATGGTTTATACCAAAAAAATCGATGTTGTAGGTTCCAAAAATCGATTCTTCGATTAATCGATTTCAGATCGCCATCCCTAGCATTTGGTATCCTTAGTAACAAGTGGCGAATTTTTCATTCAAGCATTATAATCAATCCACAGAGTGCAAAATACATTATAAAAGCTGCTTGTGTATTACACAATTTCGTAAGACGCAGAGATGGTTATCAATTTGAAGATACGATTCGATGTGATATGGAAGAATTCGACGAAGTCCAGGCAGTTAGAGGCCGATCTAGTGGCATTTCAGTAAGAGATTCGTTTCTTCAATATTTCAATGGCCCTGGAGCGGTTCCTTGGCAAAACAGGATGATACATTAAATTAAGAAATAAAATAATAAGTAAACTTACCAGCTTTGTTTTTTTCTTCTGGGCTTAAATCAGCCCAATGAGCAACCACTTCCTGTCCTATCTCCATCCATAACTTCGCTTTTAATTCAAGATTGGCGTATTCCTTCGACTTCACTTCATGTTTCGAGGTCTTTCTTGTACTTCAATAATAAAACGCTCCGTGTCGAACATTTTGACGCGCCACTAGCCACGCAAGCGCACACACGACGAGCGAGCGAGAAGGTCCCGCGCAGAATGACGCAATAGCGGATAACCGCCCGTGTAGTTTTAAACGGCGGTTAACAGCGGCGGTTTGACGCTGCATGCGGCGGTCGAATTTCTCCCGCCTGCAAACCGCGGCGGGAAACCGCGCAGTGTAGTTTGTGGCTACAATGTCCATATAAAATTGAGTCTAGTGCGGTTCAGAAGCGGGTTCCCGCGGCGGCAGAACCGCCCGTGTAGTATAGTTCTTAGCGTCTGCGTATTCATAGTTTTTTGTAATTTAATTATTTTTTATTACTTTTAATTAAATATCCTTAGTATTTTTACTGCCTCAACTCAAAAATAAAGATCCATCCCACATTTTTAATATTGTAAAAAAGATCCACAGAGGTTTTTACTGAAAGGAAGTATACAGTATAATCTCACTAATCCGGCACTATTAAAAACCGGAGGGTGCCGGATTATTGGAATGTTCGGATTATTGGATTACATATAGTGAAAAAGTCATAGGTAAAGAATAAAATAAAGTACATATTTCATAGAGGGAGTCAATGTATGTAATGTATTCGATTAACATGTAGGTACATATGTGATTAACTATGTAGTTTTAAAATAATCCTTAATTGAGGTCTGCTTTTGTGCAACTTGTAGTCCTTGCTTAAAAACCTTTTCTCGCATGTTGCGAAGAATTATAATATCTTTGGCAGACATGCCGTTTTCTTCTGCCCATGTTATGCACGTATTGAAACACATCAATGCATTATCTGGTTTAACTCTTATAGCAGTTGTAGTAGTTGGTGGCTCTAATATTTCTACAAAGCTTTCTTCTTGTACTGCTTCAGATATTATTTCTTCATCTGTCATAATTTGCTCTGTTTCTTCGATTCCTTCAAACCAAGAATTTAAATTTTCCTCACTTGTCTCCAATCCTTTTTCTGATAGATTTTTTAACCAATCGACAATAGGCATATTATCTTCAGGATCCCATTCATCTGTTTCTTCTGTTTCTGATACATCATTCATTGTGGGCCATAACTTTTTCCATGAAGATTGGATTAAGTTAGATGAAACAGACTTCCAAGCATGAGCGAGAGAGAATACAACATCCTTCAAATTCATTCCTTTAAGGCTCTGCGTTATATCACCATCCTGAGATATAATATGGATCAGCAATTTATTTTTATACAAAGACTTTATTTTTTGGATAACGTTTTGATCCATCGGCTGCAGTAAAGGTGTGCAGTTTGGTGGTAAGAAGATGGTTTGGATATTCCCATCACTTGATTTAAGTTCTTGTTCGTTTGGGTGGCCTGGAGCATTGTCAAGTACGAGTAAAGCTTTTATGGGCAAGTTAGATCTTTTCATAAATTTTCTTACTTCTGGGACAAAGTCTTTATGAAACCATTCGCTAAATACCTCTCTCGTGACCCAACTTCTACTTTGGTTCTTGTAACAGACTGGCAGACAAATGTTCTTGAAAGCTCTGGCATTTTTTGCTTTGCCAATCACTAATAAATCCAATTTGTGCGTTCCAGTAGCATTTGAACACGGCATGAATGTGATTCTGTCTTTACTCACTTTACGACCTGGTGCACTTGCTTCTGTAGAAGACACGAATGTTTTATTGGGCAACAGTCTCCAGAACAGACCACTCTCATCTGCGTTATAGATTTGATCAGGAAGAAGACCCAGTTCTTCTACTTTGTTTTTGAAATGCTGGATAAATGGCTGTACTGCAGATTCGTCGCTTGATAATTTCTCACCCGATACTGTTAAGAGACGGATACCAAATCGCTTTTTAAATTTATCCAGCCATCCATCGCTGGCACGAAAATCATCTTTGTGGGTAATTTTTTTATAAAATTCGATTGCTTTGGTTTTCAGAATTTCTCCAGATATAGGAGTGTGTTTAGAACGCCGTTGCAAGAACCACATGTAAAGAGCGTTTTCCATCTTTGGACAATCGCCAACTTTTAGTGTTTTACGCTTTCCTGGCCCCGATTCCATTGTCTTGACGTGGTCTACTATCTTTTGCCTTTTTTTTCTTAAGATCGTGTATAGTAGCACGCCCAACACCATATTCTTTTGCCAATTTGCACATGTTTTCTCCACTATCTAACTTCTTTAAAATCTCCATTTTATTATTCAAATCTAGTGTCTTGTGTTTGCGTTTATTTGACATTTTTAACTATAAACTATTCTCACTTGGAAAAAAAAAACAAATACGTAAGCACGTGCACGTGATAAGTTTTGAGGTTAGACTGCTCGTCGATGACGCAGCGACCGAAGCGCACAGGTATAGAGGGGCGAGGGAGGCGTGGGCGGAGGGTGCCGGATTATTGGACGTGCCGATCTATCGAAGTGCCGGATTAGTGAGATTATACTGTATTTATTTTCATGAAACTTATTAAAACAATACAATACGGAAGAAGTTAAAATATCAAATATTTAAGAGAAATTTTAAAACAAACTACGGTTTTGTTATTTAGATATCAATTTTACTAAAACTCCTATTTTCTCAAAAGTAAGTTATTGTGGCTGGATCTACTTTGCATAACTACGTCAAATTCCTTATTAATTAACCCCTTCCCGCTTGGAAAAGGCTTACAGTATAAATACCAAATACCATATACAAGGGCTTCGCTACTAAAAAAAAAATGTGGAGGAGGTACACGACTCCACACACGCCGTGCGCGGTGAGCGCCAACCATTTAATGCGCACGCCCCGAAGGGAACGTTAAGTTGGTAAAGAGACCGTAGTCCACAGCAAAATAACTGGCGTACCAGTAAAAGAGGACTTGACCCCTTAATAGTGCGTAAGCACAAACATGGACCGAAGTCGCGCATGTCAATGCGTGTAAACGCCATGCAAAATACGATCAAATCCAGCCAAAGTAAATGTACGTCACAGGGGTTAGGTAACAATAGGCACACTGGCCATAAAAAGCCCTCCCGTGAGCGCCATCACCTGCCAGACCTCCGTTCCTGCAGACGTGTTGTAAATGTAAGGCATCACCACCTTGTTCCCCTGGTGTTGCAGTTGTTCATGGGCGGCGGTAGTCACTTACCATCAGGTGAGCTGCATGGTAGTTTGCCCCCTCTCCTGTAAAAAAAACAATGCTCATTTTCCCCATCTTATAAAAAAAATATATATGTAAATTGAGGACCAAGAAATATGTTTTCAATTATCAACCTTTATCAATACATACTCTCATCTACGTCTAAAATATTAGCAAAATTAATTAACAATACGGAAAATAATTTTTACAGGGAAATTCCATATTATCGAACATAAAATATGGCTTCAGACTAAAACTGTCCAATGCTGATACTGGAAATTATCTATTACATGTCTCAAGAACTAGGTATAGGCAACAAATCAATTGGCATTTTCCTTGACCTAGCAAAAGCTTTCGATACAGTGTCTATATCCATCCAATTAAATATGCCA